CTATGCGGCCATCTTCCACCTCAGTCGGCCACGCCCCCCCTAATTTCCTTTTTTTGTAGGCTTCCCCATATCTGCCTGTAAAGGGTCAATATATTTTTAATTCTGCTAATTCTGTTCAGATCCGTGTACATGACTGGGTGTGTCTGCCTGCAATATATTGTGCATGTACTTTCCAAAATGCCAAACAAAAAGCACTTTTTAATAATAATTATATTTATTATAATATTAAAGGGTAGCTATGGTCAAAAACAAAAATAAAATATGCATTTCTATACTGAAGTTTCATATGTTCTATCTAACTCTTAATAACAATATCAATATAGAAGTTTGTAAATTTACTTACCGAAGATGCCCATAGGATGTACTTTCTCATTGCAGTGACACAATTTCACCTACCCTTGTGAATGTGCACTTCCTTGTGTCACAACTCTCACAGGCCCTGCATCTGAACTACAACTCAACTTCTGAACAACGTAACATTAACCTTTCTTGTAGGAAGAAATGCATTATGGGCTATGCAGTCTTGAGAAATCAGGTTGCATCACATCATGCAGCAAGGAAAGAGATGGAAAGTACACTGGGAATCCAGGAAGTTGTTGAAAGTGATGGGCAGACTTCAATGCACCGCCATGCCCCCTCCTGCCCCCGAACTGGGCTAGAATGCACTGGGGCTGGTGTGAACTAGCCCTGAGGGCTGGTTCATACCACAAACAGTGCATTCCAGAGCGGTCAGCTTCTGTAACGCACTGTATCGCAACTTGGCCGGCTCTATACTGTGTGCTAAAAGGTGTCAACGGAGACTTAAAGCCAGCTCAGCTATGGTATGCCAAGGGGAAGGGGTGGCCACAAGAACAAAGGGTAACATTTACGCTAATGCACACTGCAATCCAAGGCTAAAAGACTTATTACATACCTCTTAAAAATGTAATTTTCTGACAATTGCGCTTGGCATATTATATCATATTTGTCAATGGAAACATATTTTTGTAGAAAAATAGCTTGTTCCTATATGAAGGTCAGTTTCTACACATATACAATGGCTCATAGCCTACTCATTGCTTAGCTCACACAAGTGTATGGTGTTTAAGTGACCATGACAGCACATTTAAAATTAATCCGTCTTGCTATGCCCAATCCAAAGCTGCTCAGGCAGTCACAGGAATTGAAGCAGGCACATACATTTCATCTGTGACAGAATACTCCATCATTTCCCCTCTGAGGATTATTACATGCTGCTCGCCTCATACTTTGATGTGATGTATATTCTACACTGACAGTCAGTGAAGGAAACATACCAGCTCATTTTTAAGGTTCCTTTACACATTAGAATGTAACAAACTATTTTAAAACTAAAGTATGGGAATGTAGTGACATTGGGAAATAACAAACGCACATAAATATTGGAAGTCCTTGCAATGGTAGAACGTCCCTGTTTTCCATAAAACAGAAGGAATCCTTTCACTGGGCTTGTGCCAGAATGTATGGTCAGTATAATTGGAAAGAAGGATCCTTGTGACTATAGCAGTCTAGGCAATGATGACCACATCTCTCATTTACCATGATTCTACACGATTAGTTTGCCAACTTTGCCAGCTACACTCCTTTCCCATGTTTATTTTAATGTGGCATATTATCTAAAATAGAGAGATTTTTGATACTTATCCAAGTCTACTAAGGGACACAGAAATTCAGAAACAGTTGGGTTATATAGACGCCTAAAGGTGGTTTGGACACAGGAAAACAAAAATAACTGTAAGCCAGGACTGGTTAACCCCTCCTCTACCTAGCATGTCTCAGTTTTGTGTAAAAGCAGTAGCAAAGGCAAGAGGAAAAAATACAAAAGGGATGAGACCTGTGTCAGGATCCCTTCCAGGCAGTTAGAGTACCATGCGTGTTTGTAAAAACATCAGTCTCACATGAGACACAAGCTTAGATGAGCTAGCGCAACTAAAGTACATGAAAATGGGGGCCTACCTCAGCAGTAATGGAATCTATCCATTTTAATATGGTTTGCCATTCTGACTCTAGCTGCCTGTCAGTGAAATCCAAAAAGGAGAGCAGAGCCTCAAGCAGTCAAGTGCTATTCCAGTTAAAGTGATATTAAATTCAAAAGGGGTTAAGCTATTCCAAATGCGGAGTAAATCACTTACAATAAAGGCTGCTCCTTGATGTTTAAAAGTTTGAATGTCCTGCAGAATCAGCTGATCTTGTAAGCACTGGCCCTGATATCCTGTTTTAGAGTGGCTCCTTTCTTAAGCAGAGTTCTAAGGAGCCACCCTTGTGTGTGCTAGTAAGCTGTGTGTGTCTCCACAAACACACAGGCACAGCAAATCAAGCCACCCCTTTCCCAGCTGTTCCCTCTCCTCCATCCACCCTTCTACAAGCTAGTAGATAAACAGTTGTGGGAGATTGTGCTGTCTCTTGTGATCTTATACTGGACAGGAAGTTCAGGGAAGCGACGTTGAAAGACTTGGAAACAGATGTTAAGAAACATGATGACTAAGCGTTTGGTCAAAAATATACTTTGCTGGGCAATATATATATTTGTTTGATCTGGATTAATTACTAAAAAATGTTTGAGAGTTTAATCTCTGGCATACCAATGGTGGGAACAGACCATCGATTTAAAAATTCCCTAGTAAAAGGGAAACGTTCAGATATATACTCAGATGGGGCTCAGGACCCTTTAGGGCAGGGGTAACCAAACTCTGGCCCTCCAGCTGTAATAAAACTACCAATCCCATGAGGCATTGCAAGATTCCCACAGCCACAGGCATGACACCCAGAGACAGATGCATCATGGGATTTGTGGTTTCAGCACAGCTGGAGGGCCGGAGTTTGGTTACCCCTGCTTTAGGGTGTTGCCACATCCATGTAGAGGAAAGTCTGAAATAGCAGGTGTAGTGGAAACATGTTTGCCGCTGTAAGAGATCTTAAAAGAGGGTAGGGGAAAGGTTATATGGCGGCTAGCTTACAATTTTTTGTATGTTGGCGTTCAAACCTCCTGTAGGCAGTGGTTTAACACAATTGTTTCTGAATCCCTGTGTTCCTCAATGGACGAGAAAGAAAAAACTGTTGTTGCATCATTGGCGCAGTTTCCAGCCCAGCTTTTCTATAGGGATGAATGGTAACCTATGTAAACGTATGTAAAATGCGTGAAATGCTCATCTAAGGCACACCGCACTGTAATTGCACAACATGAAAAACCTACCGTATGTATGTGAAAATAAACTAAGATAATTGAGAACTCAGCAGTACCTCTAAAGCAACCACGGTCAGAAAGGGTTCCAGGTGCCAGTCTTCAAGCATTGCTCTGACTTGTGGAGACATGCTAAGAAGAGCACAGTTGGTGACTACAGCAATAACACCCATAGTTTCAAATGCCAACTAAAAGGAAACAAAAAAGGATAAAATTAGACTGTAATATTATTTCCTGCAATCAAAGCTATTGAAAGCAAACCTGTGCATAGAGGGGAAAAAGTAAGACTGACAGCAGAGCAAGAAAGCGGGCAGCAAAAGCTGTCAGCGGATATTAATTACTTTACATTGTCCTTCCAGTGTCACTCAAAGCCCCACAATGTTTTTCTACTTCCTGGTATTAGAAACATGCATGCATGCCCTTGTCCTATTCTATAACAGAATGCATGGGACCTGTACAACTTATCCACTGACCTGGGTGTTATCACATGGGCAGTGTGCATATGATTATGCAAATAGAGGCCATTCTAAGGATGTTGTTCCAGCACGTCTGAAATATATTGTACCTAATACTATATGCTGATGTCTGAGAATAGCCTTTGGGGTTAAAACTCGTTAATGCATAACATAATTTATTAAAGTGAATAGTAATAATGCTAACACTATAGGAAAAGACTCTGACACACAACAAATCTGCATTTAATCTGTAAGGAAAACATATCTAAATCTGTATTGAGCTGTAAACTGTACAGACTAGTTCTGGATGGAAATTACTATTATAAATGACAGTTTGCAGATGTGGGGGCAGCTTTATGGGTTTTGTTTTACATGCCTACAAAGGTCAAGTGTGAATCAGCACTGACTCCCATCTCCAAATAGAGGACATAGAGAGCAAATGTTTCTTAGATGGAAATATCTGCATGCTACAGAGGAGGACCGGCCCGGTGCCAGATACTTATGAGTAGGAGCCCTTACTCTGTTTCAGTGAATTGTCTAGAGTGCAAATTCAATAAATACAAAAAGAGTCTCCCCATGCCTACTTTAATAGATGTTCCATAAAGGTGAATCTGATCAAGATCACATTACATTATATTTTAAGGTTATTAAAGGAGAACTATGAGGTTGAGTGATTTTCACTTAACCTCATAGTTCGAGCCGACGTGTGACAATGAAACTGTCACACGTCAGCTCAATAGATCAGGATGTGAGCGAACACATTCCATCGCTCACTTCTCAATCATGTCCCTGCAAAGAGCCGTGACTGCCACTCACGGCTTCCTGCAGGGATTCCCCCCCTTCTCTGTCCGATCCCCCAGCGCTGATGGGCGGGACGGATGGGGCGAGTACAGCTGGCTCTAGATAGGCAGTCACTCACGCAGCTGGTTGGATCTCGACACTAATGTCACGGATCCTTCCCGGCTGCGGTGATCTCAGTATTCCGCGAGCTGTAGCTCGCAATATACTGAGCTTTGGGTCACGGGAGGATGCTAGTTTGTGTCCTCCCTTGACAATTAGGAGAACTATGGGGAAAAACACTTACCCCATAGTTCTCCTTTAAAGTGGAACCCCATGCAAGGCTTTTATTACTGTTGGGGGCATTCACTCTCACTTTCTACCCTAGTAACCATACAATAATTTAAATAAAAATATAAAATGTTACAACTGCCATCAGAACAAATCTTCTAATGGGATACCTGTACCAGAGTTAACTGTCCCTCATTTCCTGCTGTGAATCTGGGACAGGAAGTGTAGTAAAATCTCCTTAATGGTAATTCAGACAGCTGTTTGAACGTAACAGCAGATTCAAATCTTCCACACAAGTTTTAGCTGGACTTCAGCTTTAAGTTCAGCTCAGAATACTACCATTAAGTATCATAAAAGAAAAATTAAATACAAACCATCCATACTCCAATGCTGGAAGAAGGTTCGGAAAATGGACGCTTAAAGACACGGCATATTTTTAATGCATCTGTGTACACTTCAGAAACATTGTTAAGGACAACTAATATGGCTGCTGCAGGAAACACACATGAGAAAAGGCTGACATAACCAAACAGCAGGAATAACTCCAAGTAGTCATCAAATGTTCCCTAGGAAAAAAAAAGTAAAAAAATGTCAGGACATGATAACATGGATTAAGAGAAGCAGAACTATACACATTCCGAAAAGAAAACTTTTTATTTATCAGACAAATTTCCCACCATGAAGGTGTAAAATTCTGCAGCCCAATGTCTGTGTGTGCACTTGTCTGATATATTAGTGTACAGGCCAGGAACGGATTCGTATAAAAAGTCTATTACTGGCACAGGTCTAAGGTAGTACAAACTCCTGGGGGCATCAGGCTACTCTTTGTCATGCTCTGTCAATATATTTCTTATATAGCCCATCAGGAAGCAAGGAGAAAACTCCAAGCACATATCCACACCAGGGTGGTCTGTCGCGGTGTGTTTAAACACAATGCCAGCTGCATTTTCTTGCTTTTGAAAACTGCTTTGTACTTGCATAATACATATGTATACATGTAAATGAATATGGCTTTGCTGGGATGGATAACAGCTGCTAAAACACCTAGCATTTCAAATGCCCCCTCTAGTGCTGGTCTCAAGAAAAAAAACCTAAGGTCACATGGTCTTTGCTGCAAGAAAGGATCAGCTAATCTGATCCTGTACAAAAGAGATAATGTGACCAAATGCCTGTTTTTAGTTATGTGACCTGCAAAGGAATGGGGATGGGGGGCAAAGACAGTATTACTATCAGTAAATGTAACTAATTTAGCCGATGTTAGTGTATAAATATAGTTATAACACAAGAAAATCGGGCCAACGTGTAGAACATGGCATTTGAATACAGCGGTGCTAATAACAGTATACAGAGATGAACAAGTTGAATATCACATGGCCAGTGACCTGAATTGAATCCACACAGTACATCAATGCAATATACTCATGCCTCATGTACAGGGCCAAAAAAGTCAGCTGCAGAACTGTGGGGCATAGCATTGCAATCCAGTCCTGGCAGCAGTTTTAAGCAGTACAGATGGCGTTTTAAAAAGAAAAACTAAAAATAAAATGTCAATCATCTAACTTCCACCAAACTGAATTCTAAGTATCTAAGTTAAGGAGACTCAGCAGCTAGATAAAAAAAACCAAAAAAAACATAATAGTTGTACAATGTAAAACATTATTAAAATAACCTTAAGATAAAACAAAAAATGACATGTGCACTTGGTAATTCTGCCACCATATTACTGGTGTACAGACTATAGACCATAAAACCTTAGCTCCTCCCACTTCAGTAAAAGGGGGCAACATAACTATTTTTAATCTGACAAATATTTAGTAAGCTAATATTCTTGCTTTTATTTTACACTCTGCATAACTTCAATGCACCTGAAAGTTATATCACTAAAGGGGCCAATTATAAACAATTTGCAAAGCCATTGGCCTTGCAAATCTCTAGGAATATTCGTTATGTGCGAATAGATACATGAAACAAACATTCTTGTATATTGTCTTTATAAGTGGAATGTACACTCACTGGCCGCTTTATTAGGTACACCTCTTCGGCTGCTCGTTACCCCAAATATCTAATCAGCCAATCACATGGCAGGAACTTAATAGATTTAGGCTTGTAAGCATGGTCAAGATGGTCTGCTGAAGTTCAAACCAAGCATCAGAATGGGGAAGAAAGGCGATTTAAGTGACTTTGTACATGGCATGGTTGTTGGTGCCAGACGGACTGGTTTGAGTGTTACAGCAACTGCTGATCTATTGGGATTTTCATACACAATCATCTCTAGAGTTTACAGAGAATGGTCTGAAAAAGAGAAAATGTCCAATGAGCGGCAGCTCTCTGAGCAAGAATACCTTGTTAATGTCAGAGGTCAGAGGAGAATGGCCAGACTGGTTCAAGCTGGTAGGAAGGCAACAGTAACAATAACCACATCCCTACATCCAAGGTATGCAGAAGAGCATCTCTGAACACACAACACATTGAACCTTCAAGCAGATGGGTTACAGCCACAGAAGATCAAACCGGGTGCCACTTCTGTCAGCTAAGAACAGGCAACTGAGGTTGCAAGGGCTCACCAAAATTGTAAAATAGAAGACTTAAAAAATGTTGGTCTGATGAGTCTCGATTTCTGTTGCGACATTTGGATGGTCGGGTCAGAATTTGATGTAAACAACATGAAAGCATGGATCCATCCTGCCTTGTATCAATGGTTCAGGCTGGTGGAGCTTCGCATCATGGATGTGCAGCCGACAAATCTGCAGCAACTGTGTTATGCTATCATGTCAGTATGGACCAAACTCTCTAAGGAATGTTTCCATCACCTTGTTAAATCTATGCCACAAATAAATAAAGCAGTTCAGAAGATAAAAGGGGTCCAACCCAGTACTAGCAAGGTGTACCTAATAAAGTGGCGAGTGAGTGTATTTTCAAATGGAATCTTGTAATACAGCATTATGGCCACTAGATGGAGTAGAGGAGCACCAGAAATAAGTATTTTCTTATGCTCCTTACCTCCATCTAGTGGCCATAATGCGGTGTTACAAATACTTTTGCGTTATAAAGAAAATACTGTATACAAGAACGTTTGTTTTGTGCATCCATTCACACAGAACGAACATTCACAAAGATTTGCAGGGCCAATGACTCTGCAGATTGTTTATAAATTCCTCAAAGAATTCTGCAACATTTTTCCTTCATATACAAAAGGTGTTATCTCTCATGCAAGAAGCTTCATATATGATTCTACAAATACTTACCAGATAAGTGTACATATTCTTTTCTAGGTAAATTTGCTCCGACAATGTGTACTTAGAGGCTGAATTCAGCGGTTTTGGTTTATCAGCTACTTGTCTGTTAGTTCTCTTCTGCATCCAGTAAGGAAGAACGGTCTCAAAAATCTGGTTAAAGAACTGAGAGACCAGAAGCAAGCAGACCAGACTCTGCAGAGAAAAGGAAGAAATATATAATTAAAAAAACGAAACCTTACACATATAACATTGTACAAACAATTCAGATTTTCTGCTTGGAGTATAAAGGTGAGCTGTTTTTTTCTGATGTTTTCATAATGGTAATGGTTCCCTAAGATGGTGTAATGTAGGTGCAGTATGAGGATGTGTTACAAACTTTGTCTATACTTACATAAAAATGAATACACTGTCAAATATATGGAATGTCCAACAGCCTTAGTTCTAACTTATGCATCAGAAAAAGTGTTCATGTGAAGCTAAGCCTCCATGATGAAAGGAACTGAAATCCAATAAATGACAGAGGTAGGCCAGGGAGTCAGGCTGGAGAGGAAATGGCTAGACAATGCTGGCTCTGACTCACTCCAGCTTCTAATGCACACTGTAAGAAGCGTACAGTGTGCAGTGAAATCAGACAAAGCATTTTCAGTTACAATAGAGGAGCCTGTACAACTGTTCAAGACTGAATATAGTGCTAAAGTCCAGCTTTAAATAAGGTTGAATGAGTTTTATGCAATCCATTGCACCCTTGCAACCATATAAAACTGAGCCACTGGTAACATTATATTATTATTTTTATACAGGCTTTATATAGCGCCAAGTTTGCGCAGCGCTTTACAATATAAGGAAGACATTACAATCACAATACAAATCAAGAAAAGATGGTAAGTAGGGCCCTGCCCGTGAGGGATTACAATCTAAAAGGGAGGCGGAAGTGATACATGAGGAGGGAGCTGTTTGGGGATGAATAGTTTGAGACCGTGATGGTTGAGCGGTTAGGTTGAGGTGGGATAGGCTTCCCTGAAGAGATGAGTATTTAGGGAATGCCTAAAGGCAGTCAAGGTGGGCGACAGACGGACAGGTTGGGGTAAAGAATTCCAGAGGATGGGAGAGACTCTAGAGAAGTCCTGGAGGCGAGCATGGGAGGAGTTGACAAGGGAGCTGGAAAGCAGGAGGTCTTGGGATGAGCGGAGCCGACGGTTAGGGTGATACTTTGAGACCAGGTTTGACATATAGCCGGGGGCGGAGTTGTGGATGGCTTTGTAACTGATTGGTAATATTTTGAATTTTATCCTTTGGGCGAGTGGAAGCCAGTGCAGGGATTGGCAGAGGGGGGTTGCAGACACTGAGCGGTTGGTTAGGTGAATGAGTCTGGCAGCTGCATTCATGATAGCAACATTCTATGCAACTTCCTCTGTCTCTGTTTGATGGATAGTAAATAGAGTAATGGTTGGAGTGGGATCACTTGGTGCATTTTCACATAGATGAGCAAATGTGATTCTCAGAAGACCAGATTACTAGCAACAAGGAGATTGTAGACAGGGGTGCAATACTGCTAGATAAAAAAAAGAAGCCCAGGGCAGGTAAGCAGTGCTCTTTTTATGCATTTCAATGCTTAATACTGAAATACGACTGCAGTATTTTTCCTTTTGCATTACTTCTGCCTTGCTCAATGTAGGACAAATAAAAAGGTTCCTTTTAATGGCAGCCCCATCAGCAACTCAGTCATATTCCTTTTGCTCCCCTGCTGCTCTGTTCCACAGCGGGGAGCAAAGAAAAATATTCAGTACTTCATGTATGGGGTGACCGACTCCATTCCTCCCATGTGCTGGCGTTTGCGTACGGATCCTACCGCACCCCCTTACCCGACTCCCCTTCTTTCAGGAGCTGGGTGCAATGTGTCCCAAAAGTACGTCTTCTTTATTGAAGCATATTGCCACATATACAGCGCAACGTTTCGGGCCATGCGGGGTCCTCTTCGTCAGGCCCAATATGTCAATGAAGGGGACCCTGCACGGCACCGAAACGTTGCGCTGTATATGTGACAATATGCATCAATAAAGAAGACGTACGCTTGGACACGTTGCTATGGTGTGCATATGACATTCCTGTTTTCTCAAGTGCTAGTGCTTGGTCACCTACTGCTCAGGCATCTAGTGCCGTCACTAAAGGGCTAACTCTTGTTCCTAGTTGCCGAAAAGGATTGGCATAGACACGAAAAGGAAAGTCAACTCAAGATTACATTTCATATGACCCCTTCTTGTAAGAATCAGCAAGTCTGTCATATGTGCACCTGGTCCAGACTTTGCTCCCTAGTCACGTAACTGTACTGTACTTTCTTCCTCCATTGTTCCACTAAGAACTGCAGTAATTATAGAGGGTGAGCAGGGTGTGGTCAACTTACTAGGTTTAGAACGTAGGAGGCTTCAAATGGGCCGCTGGCATCCCAATGTCGTCTGTGCTACAGAGGATTGCTAGAGACCGATATGCTACAGGTGTCATTGAAGGCGGAAGCTATACTGTGCGGGGGACTGTTAGAGACTGGGGACAGATTATATAAGCCTACTTGTGATCACTGCCATTATACCGTTTTTAAAAATCAATGCTCAATCAAAATTCTCACTACTGGCTGCTGGAGCCGAAGGGCTGCACCATAAATACCAAAAGGTCTGCATACGTTCCTTAGGCAAGAGGTTGGGCACCAGAGGTGTAAGCTACTAAACACACTAGTCCCTACTTTGACATGCTTAATTTCAAGGCCATTCCAATTATGAAGGAGCGGATGGCTATAGGGACTTATCTTGTGAATGTCAAGGTACACATTTTAGTCAAGTGGCAGGTAGGCTGCTGCTGGTGAGTTCAGACTAAAAAAAATGATCATTTTTGACCTTTAAACAATATGCACCTACTATGTCATTTATATATGAACAGACATATCCCATTGAAGGTATGTGTGTGTATATGGAATACAATTGTTTGGGATTCATTTATTATGAATTTCTAAGAAAGTAACACTGTATCCATGGAAATGTATAGAGAGGTGAGAGTGCTGCAGTGACAGAAAATCATTCCATTAAGTATCTGACTGTGTGCGTGCTTGCGCTGCAAAGTCTATGTCAAGAGCCCCCTCTAGTGTTTCTCTAGAAAGATAAAATATACATCCCTATTTTGTGTCATACCCCGACATGTATACAAGCTATAAATCATTATTTTAAGCAAACCTTCGGAGACAGAAATAAGGGTACTTACACTATTGACTTGTTTAAAAAAGGCTGTCATCATGAATCTAGTGAGATCCGGAAAGTCTGCACTCTCGTCCTGCATTCTTATTCCAAAAATCCTACCTGAAATAAGCAATGGCAGCTCCTATTTGTCTATACCCACAGAATCCCTTTAAGCTAAATGTTTCATTACAAACCCATATTAATGCATACCCATCACCAGGGCCGGATTTACCGTCCCTGACGCCCCAAGGCCAGGTTCCGCAAATTTTTATTTTTATACTTATTTCAATTTTTATTTATCTTATCGTTTACTTTTTTTTACATTTTGAATAATTTTTTTTATCTTTAATCATTTTTTTATTTTATTATTGTTTATAATTATTTTTTAATAATTTGTTTCTTATTATTTTTTACTTTTTAATCACCTAGCGCCGGCTTCATCGCGCTACATTTAGCTCTGCTTTCCCAAAGCAGGGCTAAATGTAGGAAGCAATTTATCCCCCGGAACTGCACGTTCCGGGTGTCGGGGGAATCCACAGACGCTGCCGCAAGGCCTGGCCTCGGTGGCCTTGTGGGGAATCCGGGCCTGTCCGTCACCTATATGTGCCTTTACCTAAACTTTCCACTTCCACAAGCAGCACCCAAGCACACTGTGATCCCCTGTATGAAAGCCAGGATTGCACTGATGAACATTATAACGTAAAGCCCAAGTGAGGGATCTAGCACAATAATTAAAACAATGAATATTAGTTCTGCAGGGTGCTCTTTACTTTGACACCTGTGGTGCCTGAAGACTGAGCCATCATACACCGGTATGGAGCCTTGTCCCTGTATGGTAGAGCCAGCAATTAAGGAGATTCTGGCTTAAGGTGAAATAAACAGTACACAGAAATGTGGCTCTGCTACAGAAACTATGGTGGGCAAAGTTATGGCACTTTAGTTCAGGAGAGCTGTGGAGGTAGGTTAGAGTACTTCTGTTAAAAGTACAGTTATCCCTATAAGTAAACCAGTCATTAGAAGGTGCAGCAGGGTACCTGTACATATCTTTTCTTCTATAGGTTGCTTTGTGCACCCTTATAGACCACAAACCTAGACATTTAGCTTCCCATGTTGAGGATTTGAGATGCAAAAAGGGACAGGACATTCTGACATACCATGTTAGGTACTTATGACAGAAAAAGGACAAAGGAAAAAACAAAAACAAGGGGCGCCTTTCCTAGTGTAGATACATTTTTATCAGCAAAACGGCAAAAGTAGGATAATACTCACAAAAGAGTAGATGACAATGAGCCTTCAAAAACAAAGGTTGATCCTCATTTTAGCAAAGAGCAAAACACAGCATGTGAGAGCTGCACAGATAGTGTTCCTGTGTGCCAGCAAGGTATGCCTCAGTCGACGCGTTTCCAGGGCCACGCCCCTTCCTCAAAGTTTCTGAGGAAGGGGCGTGGCCCCGGAAACGCGTCGACTGAGGCATACCTTGCTGGCACACAGGAACACTATGCTGTGTTTTGCTCTTTGCTAAAATGAGGATCAAATGAGGATCTTTTGCGAGTATTATCCTACTTTAGCCATTTGGCTAATAAAAATTTATGTACACTAGGAAAGGCGCCCCTTGTTATTATTTTTTCCTTAGATATCACAGCCTCCCTGACTGATGAGGGGCAGCGACCTGTAGAACTTCTGCATGTTTACCTCTTCAGTGGAGTGGTCACCTCTGGCGCTATTGTTTTTTTATTACAAAAGGGTCAAAGTTTAAACCTGCTGATCTTAGAATTTAGGTAAGATAGGAGTGACAAACTGGTGTGGTTTATAGTAATATTGTCACTAAAACAAAACGCGAGTCAAATGTATTTTTGATTGTGAAAAAAATATACATTGGAACGAATTGTGTTCAGACTAAAAGGATTATTTTGACAGTTTTGAGTGAAAAAGACTTTTTGTGTTGTGTGGGTATTTTCAGTCAGTTGAAGAGTAGATGTAAAGCTTAACTGGATGACATTTATTTTGTTCTGATTGTCATAAACAATAGCCATGTTTTTCTTTTTGGAAAAACGGTTTAACTTTTTTTTTTATTATTCTTTTTTGCCATCTCAGTGCAGCTAACCTTCTGCAGCCACTTCCTGTCACAGATGCACTCCAACAGTGACTGCTTGTCATTGCACAAAACTGACTTCCTGAAGGTGACAGCGAAGAAACACTCCTGCTCAATGAGCACTGCATTGCTACCCATAGGCTCCACCAGGTGGACAGGTTGACAATGCAAGAGAGCAATGGGGAGGGAGACAAGGACAAAGCGCTGTCACCCTATCATGCACCCTGAAAGCTGCCAGAATTAAAATACTGAAAATGATTTGAAATTACATTAATACATTGAAGATTATATGAAAGTTAGTGGCTGGGTTTGATTCTACTTTACTTTTTTCAATTTAGAATTGAAGTGAGCTTGAAAAAAAAAAAACACAGTGCAACTAAATAGCAGTTGTCATTGCTTTCATTGCAAATGAATAAATGACAACAAGCAATGACCTTACAACTGTTTCCAGGCCACAAAGCTGGGTGAGAATGGGGCTCAAGCTGACAAACCCTACTGCACTGCTGTAAGGAATTTGCAGTTCTCTGTATTCGGGTACCAGGAATCCTGGCACCCGAACTTTAGCGTCAACACTGAAGCGTCAACAACTTTAGCGTCAACACTTGGCACACTGAACTTTAGCGTCAAGATTTTTTAGGATAATTTTGGTATTTTGGTATGATACTACATTTTTTTAACCCCTTCGTGACGGGAGACGTACACTGTACGTCCAGCCACAAAAGGGACCAAATTACTTGTCACGTACACTGTACGTGACGAGTTATTTGCTGCTTTAGGGCCTGTTCACATGAGATCAGGTCCTGATCAGGTGCTGATCAGCAGACGTGGAGCTGCAGATTATTGTTGTGAATTTATAGTTTATGTCACTGTAACAAAATAGCTAAGGATATGGGATAGCTTTAGAATACGTGTAACAGATAAAGTGGACCTGAGCGGTGAAGATCTGCATCTACAAGTCCCAGTTGTGCCCAAGTAGTACCCTATAAAATGTATCTTTTGTCCTGAATTACTGCTAGAAAGTAGCAGTGTGCGTCTGCACCTTAAGCTGCATAGCTGTATATCTGCAGTGACATTTAAGGCACCATGCCTCTGACTGCTAGTCTCATGAGGTTTAGAGCAGGGATGGGTAACCTCCGGCTCACAAGTTGTGGTGAAACTATAAATCCCATGATGCATCTGTCTCTGGGAGTCATGCCTGCGGCTGTGAGACTCTAGGAATGCCTCATGGTATTTTCACCACAGCTGGAGGGCCAGATGTTCCCCACCCCTGATTTAGGGTAAGATTTGGTGATGTCACTACAGTGCTGCCCACTGTTCTCCTTGCTGGATAGAGCTTTACCTGAAGACCAGCAGTGTAAGGATCTCTCTGCTTTTGTTTTATACCTTTTTTGGATCTGTGCTTTCTGCACCTCTCCTGCTGCTTTTTAAATATACCCCATCATTTATCAGGAGGCAGCTGAGACACAGGGAAGCAAACCCCCAACTCTACTAAGATGGCCACTTCCATACAAAGATACAGTGAAGAACAAGGCATTGTATGACAGTCATAGGGAAAAGATCAGCAGCAGGAAGCCTATAGCGAATACTGATCTGTTTACCTTCTATGGGTAAGGCTTTCACAGCTCAGGTCCCCTTTAACCCTTTCCCCGCCACCGCGCAAAAACGACAACATAAAAAAAAACGATTAACATAAGTCGCTTATTTACAGTTTTGCGCACCTTAATTTTTTTACCTTTTACACAAAAAGGCGCAATTTGAAATATTTCTTATTTATTAACTCAATACAGTTTTATCTTTTAGATTCAGTCAGAATTTGTTTTTTTTGTGCGCTGATACTGATTTTAGTGATTTATCAATTGAATTGTGTATTTTTATCGGTTTAATATTAATTTGAGAAACATTTGCGCAATTATCACAGGGCCTACAAATTTAGTAGCACCATCTTTTTATTCTACCGGGCCTGCACTTTCAGAAAATATATGGTTTGGGGGGTCTTTTACAAACGCTAGCAATGCAGCAGTTGAAAATCAAATCAATGGGAAAAATTGCAAAAATGGCGTGGCCAGCTGAGGTGCAAAAAGCACTGGGTGTCTAATAAGGTGTATTCTATGGGTGAAGGGCTGCTGCTGCAAAAAAAAAAATCATACTGTTCATCAAGCTGGCTCGTAACCATAGTATTGGGCTTCCGGGTGCTGCAAGGGAGAGAGAAGCAGCTAGAGTAGTGAAAGGTTCCAGTTGCATTCCCACCCCCTTCTCACTCCTTGCCCATTTACAAAAAACCTTACATTTTTTTCCCTCACAGGATACAAGGCTCTAGCCACTTCTATCACCCCTGCAGCATCCGGAATCTCTGGGTATACTGAAAAGGGCATTTGAAACATTTGGGATGAAAAAAAAATAAAAAACATTGTTGTGTGATAAACCAGTTGTCAGGTGACTGCCATTTACAAAGTTAGTTGACACCAAAATATATTGTGTCTAATTGATAATGGCAAAAAATAATTACCATAATGTTATCCCCAGCCTCGAAAAAACTGAAGCGCTTAATTTGCATCAAACATTTCCCTTTTTTCCTGAATGCCACATATACAAAAGGATTGTGTGAACATAAGCTCTTGCTTTTGCCCCTCTAAGTGATTAAGAAGATTTGCTATAGCTGTGTGGTCGTAGCAAAGAATAGCTACTTGGCGTGGTTATTTTGAGGGATGCATTTTAAGCAATGTCCAATACTCATTGTAATGTGATCTTATCTGAAGACTTCAGAGCTTAGGCACTAGACTGAGCTAACTAGCTGAGCTGTCAGGAGAAGTTCACACTAAACTTGCTATACACAGCAACATCAAATAGAGAAGGAATGCCTGCTGCCACAGATGTAACCATTCAGCCAATGTATCATATAATGGAGAACATTACCACCCCAGTGTCTTCATTTTGTCGATCAATATAAGGAAAAAAGAGAGTAGTCACCTAGTTCTACGGTGTTGTTCCTTTTCCTGGCTAGACGGGCAACACATCTCTCTGCTGCAGCTATATCACTGGCAAATAATCACCTGCAGGTTTTGGGCCAGCAAGGAAGCAACAACCAAGAAGCGTGTACTTTATTGTGTACATGATTGTGTTTCCTGCAGTTGTCATGAGCCTAAATCATGACAACTGCAGGAAAATAAAAGCAGGGCAGCTGCCAAGAAAAAAACAAACAGCTTTTCTAAATCTGCACTCTGAAAACTAACCATCATAGGACAACTATTGTAAAAAATATTGTATTCTAGTAAATGCATGTTTTCTAGTAAAAGTATGAAGTATATTGATTCCTTTTTTTTTTTATTCCACATGCTTGTATTTACATTTTTCTCTACATTTACAAGTAGACCAGGGTGTCCAGCAAATGACTGTTAGAGTGGTTGGGGCAAGTCATGACTGTGGGGTGTGCTTACAATGGTCAGCTCCTATTCACGTGTTTTTAAATATTTTTTCTAATAGGAAACCTGTTGCTGTTACCGCTTCAATAGCTGGAGATGGGCTTTCATTTGTTTGTGGCATATTTAAAGTACATTTACAACTACATGTCCATCTAACACCATAAGGTGAAAATGCTGCATAATGCTAGTGACAGAGCGCATCATATACAGTATGTTATATTTTTGCCCATAGTTCCACTTTTTTTTTTTTCTCCAGTTCTTGGGAATCTTCAAAAACTGGTGCACAGTGAATTCACTGATCATTGAAGAGCTAAAAGTAAAAACATGGAGGGGCATGGCCAGCGCTTGGGACGGATGGCTGCTTGAGACGGAGCTCCGTGCATTTTGTTTTTTTTGTTCTCTTATTTTTTTTCTCTTCCTATGACGTGTCTATAGGGTCCTGACAAGACCTGAATTGATGTTCAATAATATATACTTTTTCTTTGTACCGTTACGAAAACTCAATAAAAACCTATTGAAATTAAAAGTAAAAACATCTTTGTAACAGACTCACCTGTTTTAACAGCGGCACATCATACATAACAAAGGCAATGTAGAAAAGTGATGAGAAGCAGTTCACACTATAGAACTGAAAGAGAAAATAAATAATTCAGAAGAATGCAACAACAATCAATAACGTAATTATATATTGTTAATGCATTAAAAGCTGTTCATGCTCTTGTATAAAAAAAATAGTACACCTGGTTAAATAACAAATATGTATAAAATATTTATTTTTCCATATTAAATAGGTCATCAAAATGTATTTTTTAGGTATTTTTGTTTCCTGTGGCCCCACACAGTTAAATTTGTTGAAGTAGACTTTGCAGTAAAATGCAAAATCCCCTTAAAGGAGAACTATGAGGCGAGTGAAAATCACTCAGCCTCATAGTTCTAGCCGACCTGTGACAATGAAACTGTCACATGTCGGCTCAATAGATCGGGAAGTGAGCGACTACATACCGTCGCTTGCTCACTTCTCGATCTATCCCTGCAGAGAGCCGTGACTGTCACTCACGGCTTCCTGCAGGGATTCCCCCCCTCCCCTCCAGCGCTAACTGGTGGAACGGACGGGTACAGCTGGCTCTGCCTCTAGATTGACAGCTGGCTCTGCCTATCACGCAGCTTGGTGGATCTTGACAGTGATGTGGGGATCCGTCCCGGCGTCTCAGTATACCACGAGCTGTAGCTCGCGATATACTGAGTTTTGGGTGACGGGAGGACGCTAGTTTGTGTCCTCCCATTACCCTTAGGAGAACTATGAGGAAAAGCCCTGACCCCATAGTTCTCCTTTAATATATCAAGGTACCTAACCCATTGTGAATACCTAATTTAAAAAAAAACAAACTGTAGGGAACAAAAGCTTTATATACAAAGTACATGTATTTATCTTTTCCCTGGCTTTCATGACATTAACATCCTTTCGGTGAGACCCCAAGAATAAAGAGGATGGCAAAATAGGATTTTTGAACTCACTGTAAAATCCATTTCTTAGAGTCCGTTGAGGGACAAAGGGAATCTTTCACTTTCAGGTTATACTGCTGTCTATAGGAGAATTTTAAGTGTGGAAACAAACAAACAAAAAAAGAATGTAGTCCAACCCAGAATAACCTTTCTTACTGCCAGCATGTCTCAGTTTTGTAGGAAAGCAGCACCGAGAGCATGATAATAAAACACAGAGGGATGCCAACAGTGTCCTTAAATGGACTCCAAGAAAAGGATTTTACAGTGAGCACAAAAATCTTATTTTCGTTCTTGTACACTGAGGGATACAGGAAGTCTTTCACCTTAGAGACGTACAAAAAGCAGTCCAACTGAGGGGTTGGCAAGCAAACAAACAAGAACAAATCCAAGAATAACAGAAAACTGGGAATGCCTGCCACTGAAAAAGTCACCTGGAGGGCTTTATATCTGGTAATGGTATCAAGAAAAGATGCAAAAATAAGTTGGCCCTCAAAGGGCCACGCTCCTTGGGTGAGGGTTCTACAGTCCAGCACTTTAAGCAAAGTGTCCCATGCATGTGTACTGGCAGGAGATCCAAGCAAGAAATAAGCCGGGTAGCCTCTAGTAGACCGTCACAATTGAGCTTTAAGGTTCCATTCACATCAGATCTGTTGCAATCCATTGTCTCGCGATACGTTTTCAATGGAAGGACACCGAAAAATGAATGGGTGTGAATGGGGCTGGTTCACACCGCTCCGTTCAGTTACATTATGTTGCACTGAAAAAAGTAGAACATGCACTACTATTTTTAGTGCAATGTAAGGCAATGGATCCGTTGGAACTAGCCCTATTTACACCCATGCGATCGGTGCCCTTCTGTTAGCATCTGTTGAAAAACAATTCGCAATGCATCAGAAGGAAATCAGAACATAAAATTTGACATGAGATTTCCTTCCGATTTTGGTGTGAATGAACCCTAAAGCTACAGCCTTTTGCACCATGGATACTGTAATCAAGAGATCAAATGTAGCAGTGGTAAGATCTTCACCAGTCAGCCATAGTTTGGCACAGGAAAGTCACAGCCAAGATTGAATAAAGAGCAGGGCCAAGCGAGTTCTAGAGATGGCTTCCAGTTAGGTCCTTAAAGTCACCGATCGGCTGTATGTTTTCGCTGACTTCCCGATCAATAGAGACAGCTAAAATTCCCCTTTAAATTATATTTTTCTATAGCTCCGCTAAATATCTGTATCAATTTCATATAATTAGTATAGCATTTATATTAGTATAATAAAACTATATTGAAATGAAAATGAACAGTATCAATTTGAAATTGCATATTACATTTACCAAATATGTGGCATTGAATCATATTTGTGTGTGGATCATTAGCTTTATGACCAAAAATATTATTTCATCACATGAAATAGGAGAGGATAGTTATATTTAGCTTTCCTATAATTATACTGTGACATTTCTTTCACAATTTGTAAGTGTGATAATGGTCACAGACCGAAAAACTGGTCTCATGCCCGAGTCCTGGTACAGCTAGAAACTTTTCATGTGTACTGAGAGATGTCATTCTTTTTTCAGTTGCATCTCAAAGTGCAATGGGCGACGGAGGATATACAAGGGGTGCTTGTTATGGGGTTTTTAATCTGTAGAACTTGTAATAGGTTGCTGGAATATTCCAAAAATCTGTCAGGAGAATGGGGGCCTGCCAATCGCTGGCTTCCTTCTGAAAATACTAGTTGCCTTACTGGGTCTGCCTTCAATTTTTTTCAGCCACAGACCCAAGACAAGCAAGCTGTAAATGATAGTCAGACATACTCATTACTCTGCTTCCAGGTCAGTGATTCAGGAAGCAATGAAGCTTGATTTGAAGGAGCCAATTTATCATGTCTTCATGAAGAATCAATTTCTGTCGAAAAAGAACCAGCATGTTTGAAGCATTAGAAATCGCTCTGTTCTTTAGAGCTGCAAGATCACATGAACTCCTTGTGAACCAGCCCAAGAAAAGGGTGCTCGCTAACGTTTTAACTTTAGCTCTTGTTTGCGACACCGGAAAAAACAGTAATAGAGTATTGTACTGTATTAGCCAACGATTAGTGCAGAAAGTTTGCAGTTTTACATTACAACACAGCACACAGTTTTGCAAAAGTTTGAAGAGAAATCACAAACATGGCATATTGTGATTATATTAAACTCTGATCTTTTCACATAATGCATCTAAACAACAAATGTAATGAACACTTACCACTAAAACCTTTAGCACCAAGTGGTTTTGATACGTTGACTCTAGTCTATGATTTTCTAAAGGAAGAACAAACTAAAATTAATGTTTATCCTTAAATTTTAGGCAGGACAGTGAAATACTCAGTCACCAGTATTAGCCAACTCCAATATACTATGGTAACCACAGTAATGTGTCCAATGAAAGGTTGTTTTTTTTGCTGATGCTGAAAGGAAAGTTTCTACACTATTGTATATGGTTATCCAGAGCTATCTAAAGCTGAATATTTACAATAAGTCACAATAGGAATGCTAATTGCATATACTGCATCGATAAAGAGGTTTATAAATCTTAACTAAAAATTCAATTGTTTCCAAACTGACTTGCTATATAAAAGTGTAGAAAGATGTTTTTTATTTACAAAAGAATATTTGCAGAACATATTTAAAAAGAGTACCACACAGGGCAGTCCCAGTGCCTCTGCAAACTGCATTCCCCAACCCCTTTATACTCACCTTACCAGAACACCCTTGCAGTTCCTTGTTCCTCTGTGACCACCACTGATATTGGCTGTGTCAGCGACCTGGGGGAGTAATAACGTCACTTCCCAGGTCATGTACCAGTGCTCAGGCCTAGCCATTGGCTGCTAGGACAGGGCACCATCACAAGGGAGCAGGTCACATGCTCCCCCATCCCTGAAAGTGGCAGGCATTTTTGCCAGCTGTGGAGGTGCCAGCAGCTGCAAGTGGGTGTAGATAAGGCAAGTTTAACGGTTCGGGGAATACCCCATGCAGAGACACGGTTACTTTGGTTACCACATGGACAAGATGACAGTATCTCTTAGCATATTTTTTAGAAGGCTGACATTTTGCTTCTATATGTCGAACCCTTAAGAGCCAATTCACACCACTGCGTTATGCTGTGTGTCGACATGTGCGTTAAGGCAGCCCATTAATTTCAAAGGGCCGTCTAAGGTACCAAACAAGGTGGATATACCATTTCTGGTGGCACACCACAATACACTTTAGCCCTTCAGCTAGGCAATTTGGGTTGCTATTCAGAATGAATGGCACAGCATCACACCGATGCATGTAATGTGCCACACATTACCGCAACTCAATAGTGTGAAAGGGTCCTTAAAGTTCTACTTTATTTACTTGAGTATGATTCAGATCCAATCACCTTCCACAATCCAAAAACATCCAAAATGGTGGTCAAGTGTATGCATGTCTGTGGTAGAGACAGACTGCAAAATCTCTATAGCACAGGGATACATGTGAATAGTTCTTTTTGATGTTATACAAATAATTAAAATGGTAAATCCACCAACAAATACTGTATGCAATAAGTACAGTAATAGGCAAATAAACTGCTCCTGACAAAATAAATTTAAGAGAACAATTTTAAAGTTGATTAAAATTGGCATAAATCACACATTGCATTGCATAATTTTTGTTCTGAAAAGATAGGCAAAGGTTTTGTTGCGGTCTGTGTGTCTATTGGGGGGATTCACCATCATTTCCTAAGAAATCAAAAATGTTACCGTTGTCACTAGTTACATAGTATTTGAGGTTGAATAAAGACATTAGTCCATCAAGTCCAACCATTTTTCCACTAGAATAGGAAACCAGAGGACATTGATTACATTGACACCAGTCGAAGGTAGTATAGTCAGCAGTGTGTTGAATTACCCATCATTAATTTCTCTCATGGAGAGTTCAGTGGAAAAGTATGTTTACCATGTCCACAATCATGAATGAACAGGAAGTGATGTAGATCACTTCCCATTCGGGGAGACAGTAAACATATTATGTCTTCAATTATTTACAAACACTCAGTGCTAGTACCCTCTGACAGATGACTCCTCCCCCGCACCTCCGGCCCGGCCTCCCGTGACAGCCGTCTCTGCTCCCACACTGCCGCTCTCCTGATCTGTCACAGGCGGCTGAGCGGAACGGTGTGGGAGGAGAGCTCAGCCTCCAGTGACAGCTATCTCCGCCCCCACACCGCTCTCCTAATCTGTAACAGGAGGCCGAGTGGTGCGGGAGGAGAGAAGTCAGCCGCTCACATTGCTCTCCTCCCCCGCACCGCTCGGCCCCCTGCGACAGTCTCCTCTCCTAAGGGGAGACACAGAGCAGCCCCCAGTGGGGAGGTGAGAAACCAGGGATGCACCACTATTTCGGCCGAAAGATGACACTTACAGCATTTTGCCAAAAGTGACATTTTTGGTCAATATGTGTCAGCGGCCGAAATTTAGCTTCATCCCTAGTAAATAGGTTAACAAACCCTGGTCTAAAGTAACGTGCAATAAGTTCTAAGGTTTGATTTAACTGGAAAAAAAACACATCTTACCATAACTTGTTAGGAATTCTGCTGCATATCTATAAATACGATTCATGATCTCAATCACAATGGCATAAACTGTGCTGGGCACATATGTCAATACCGCACTAGCAAATGTTTGATGCTCTTGGTTGTATTTCAAGGCCTGGTGTTCCATGTCAAAGTAAATCATCATCACATAAAGGGCCAAATACAAGCTGAGGCACACAAAAGGCACAGAAATGAGATACATTCGAAGTTGTCTTTTCAAACTTGAATAAGTTGGCTCCCTTTTTCCTGTGACAGGATTGGTACCCAGAACACCATGAAAGCCAGGCCTGGGTTCCTCAAATTGCCTCTTCATGAGTAGGGATCCCCATCGGTAGGCCAGTGTTGCGCTGTAACGTTTCCAGACCTCCAGGATAACAGTAGCCCATACCAAGTTGAACATCGCAAATATCACATAGTTGTCATAGCTTTCCCATGTAAATGAATAATAAAGAAGTCCAACACTAGCCATTGGTAATAAGGCCCAAGTAAAGTATTCTAGGAACGCAAAGTATAAACCAATCGTATCTCCAAAATAGTGCCGTATTTCATCTGTAAAAGATATTTATAATGCATTAGACAACTATGGAAGTTCATACTGTAGATATTGTATTCTAAACACTGAACCAGAAAAAAAAAAACAGCATATGCTTATATGTTGCATAGATCAGACTACATAGCTTACAAGATCACAAACAGTTAAAAGGTTATATTTATAAAGAAGTGAATGCAGCAATCAGTAAATATTCACCAATTTATAATATGCCCCAAAGTTTCGTTAAAAATGATGCAGACTGTAAATAGAATAAAACATTTTAGGAAAAATAATACAGTCCATTCAGGGGCGGAACTACCGCCCGTGCGGCTACACCACGGTCTGAGCCTGGGGGGGTAGGGGGGGCCCAGCAGACCCAGGGAAGGTAGGACAAGAGATGGTGGGGGGGCCGACCGTCTGTCCGGCCAACCGCACGCCCAAACGGCCGCACAGCACTGAGATCAGAGTGAGGCTGAGCAGCCTGCAAGCAAACTGTGAGGCAGCGCGGGGGCCTCGGCCAGGAGGACCCAGCGAGCAGCTTCCTGATTACACAGCCCGCCGCCTCTCCCAGCTACATGATGTTCCCGCCGCAAGGAAGAGGCGGTGAGGTGACTGCTTTTATCTTCTGTATGTGCCTAAGTTCTGTGACTTGTTTTGTAGTCCTCTATAACTGATGGAATTATTCTGCATTTCTGTAGAGAGTAATACTAGAAGTTTTAGTCCCCTATAACCGTTACTTTTCTGCATTTCTGTAGAGCGTATTGCTCAGAGTTGTAGTCCTCTATAGCCATTACCATTCTGCATTTCTGTATACAGTATTGCTGGGAGTTGTAGTCCTCTATACAGAAATGCAGAATGGTAACAGCTATAGGTGGGCAGGGCGGGCCTTGTAAGAGCCGGAGGGGGGGGGCAAAAAAAAATATTGCACCAGGGCCCATTGTTCCATAGGTCTGCCACTAAGTACATTCTTGCAAACATCTGCATTTTTCATGACAACAGGAATGTATTCTTACTTAGGCAGGGCTGCTCTGTGCAAGCCATAAGAACATTTGCCTATCTGAAAAAAGAAACATGGTTGTCATGACTAAGATTGCATTATATGGCTGCTGATGAAATACTGCCTTTGTTAAGCAACAAACCATACTGTCTCATGTGTAGCTCAATATATCCCGTAACTGAGCAGTGTCCACATAGAATGCCTGAAATACTTTTCTAAAATTGAGAGGAGGCTCGGTTGACATCAAGATAGGGACCCTTGGCTCTGTTTGTAATGGCATGATGGGCATCTGTTAAAGTTGATCTATGAAATGCAATTGGGAAAGCATTTTTTCTGAAAATATAATATTAGTTTTTTTTACCTTTTACTGACTTAATTTCTGTTCAAGAGTCAATTGAAGTCAACAAGCCATCTGACTACAGAACACGCACAAATCTGAGGAAGGGATTTAAGCCATGCTCCGTTCACTCAGTAACTCCTATAAAATGTTGCTGTGGATGAGATACGTGGGGGCATGTCTGCGGCAGCACAGTTTTCATTCACACAGGTTTATGCCCAAAGTGGCCACACACATTCTCCCTGCTGCCCTGTATGGGCTTACAATAGGTTGAACCGCGAGGGATTTTAAAAAGAAAGCCTTGGAATTTACAGCTCGATAAAAACACATTTGACAACATAACTGGGTGTTCAGCATGTAAATATACCTTTATTGAGGGCTACATACTGTATAAACTTTAAAGCTTAGAAAGATGCATGTGAGAAATAAGATACCACTAATACATATTTCTCTGAGTAAAAAAAGAACAGAAGGTTTCATCAGCACTAAAATGAATGATCTTACCTACAGGTTGCTGAGAAATTCTGGCACGACCATACCAATTTTTAGCCAGCAATTTTAATTTTTCTCTGTCATGTAAAGGAAATATCTGGAGCAGAATACCACTGGTCTGCATTCTTCTAACTGAAAAAGGGAAAGTGAAATTCATATTAAAAGAAATAAAAGCATAATTCTACCAAATGTATAGGTCAGGGGTCCTCACACTTTCTAAACAAAAACCAGTTCACTGTCCCTTAAACCTTAGAGAGGCAGGACTGTGGCCAGTAGAAGTAGAAAAGGTCCTGATGCCAGTCGAAGTAAACAATACCTCAGGGTTGGCGAACAGCGAGTAGTGGTTAGTGGGAGGAGGAATAATACCCTATTGCTGGTATCAGTGGAAGGAATAGAGCCCAACATTGGTATAAGTAGAAGGAATAGTGCTCCATCATTTGCATCAGTGGGAGGAATAGTGCCCCACTGTTGGTGTCAGCAGGCAGAATGGTGCCCCACTGTTGGTAACAGCAGGCAGAATGGTGCCCCACTGTTGGTGTCAGTGGGAGAACTAGTGTCCCAGAGTTGATGTCAGTGGGAGGAAGAGTGCCCCATTGTCGGTGTCAGTAGGAGGAATAGTGCCCTATCGTTCATGTCAGTAGGTGGAATAGTACCTAATTGTTGGTGTCAGTTGGAGGAACTAAGCTCTATTGTTGGGGTCAGTGGGGGAAAGAGTGCCTCAAAGCAAGCAAAGGGCCACGGTTTGAGGGCCACTGGTATAGGCCATACAAGTTAGATTTATTGTACACTGGGTAACTTTAGATTTGAGTTCTGCCATGACACTAATCAGTAAAAGGACTGGTATATTGTTTAAATGCAACATCTAATTTATATGACGTTGCCGGGTTGGGTACCCGCTCATTGTACTGCAAGGTGAATGTATGTGTCGTTGTATCCCCCTTTTTTGTAACCTTTTAATTTCTGTGTCAGGGTCAATGTTGGACCCATTTATCCTTTGTTTGAAAACAAGAAAATAAAGATTATACAAAAAAAAATGCAACATCTAATGAGATAACTATGTGAGCAGACACATTGTTGACCTTCGGCTAAAATTTGATTGTTGCCTGGATTTTTAACAGACTTACCATTTTTATCTGGCATCATTTGTTCCATGTCCAGTGACTGAAAATTACACATACGGCTCAATTAACGAAAACACCAGGAAAAGGATCCTTGTTTGAAATAAATAAAGTGCACCTGTGCCAATACTATGGCCACAGAAAGATTTACATATTCTAAACAAGCAGTAAAAGAGCTTTAAAACCAACCCTCCTTAACTTTGCTAGCTGCATGTACTATGAACTAATTCATGTTAAATTATTACAACAGAGACTCTAAAGTCCGGATTACATAGGCTTATAGTGTGCTTATTTACATCAGAAGGCCGGCATACTGTCAGATTTCTGCTACATAGTCTATATTCTGCATACTTGTTTAGGGGTGGCTCGCATAGTATTTAGGCCATGTGATCTTCATGGCAGCCAGATAATCAACATTTTTAGCAGAACTCAGCAATGGCAGACTCCATATGTCTCTGAAAACGTGTACTTTATTAAAAAAAACTGGAGAAAACAGTTATTTCTGCATTGCTTTGTAACCTAAAATGCTGCAATATTTGTGTGCAGTGCCCATGGGCCTCGCTGACCGCTGCGCCGCGCGCTCTCGCTGACCGCTGCGCCGCGCGCTCTCGCTGACCGCTGCGCCGCGCGCTCTCGCTGACCGCTGCGCCGCGCGCTCTCGCTGACCAATGCACGTTACATTACTGAACTATGTGCTGTGCGTCATCCTGCTGACCTCTGTACATTTCTGCAGTGTGGGACCTTAAAGGAGGCTCAACGACGCTGCTGGAGGCTTCACCTTGTTACATAGAGGCAGCATTGATGACCCTCCCCCCAACACCCCCACCAGGAGAGGAAGAGAGCACCTGAATCAAATCAACCGTGCACTGTAAGTCCCTGTTTTTTCTGTGAAAAGGTGCCCATGCACCTGACGATTATCGTACGATAATCGCGGGTGATCCCGCAAAGTACGATAATCGGCAGGTGTATGGGCAGCGTGTGGCCGCATCTACTGTACGGTTACACGACATTCGTCTTCCAAGCTAGCTGGAAAACCTGCCAAAAATCGTACGATCTGACCTTAGTACTGTGCATCACACCACTGGCCTCTGGACTCCACGTTGTTACTGATCTCTGTACTCTATGTCACACCACTGACCTGGCGGAGTTAAGTCCAAGGCAGGGTAGGGGTTAGGTGGGGCAACTGGTGGCGAGTAACTTTTAAGGCCTGGCTAGTAGCTCAGGACTTGAAATTTTGAGCCCTGATCTAGAGCACGTGTCAAACTCCGGGCCCAGGGGCCGAATCCGGCCCACCAGGCCATTTCCTAGACTTCTACTTTCAGATCTAGGTATTAAGTTATTACTAAAACCAGTGATAATCGAATGCAGAGGCAATTATGATAAAGATTAGAAAGATTAGATACATTTATGTAGTCTTACAGATACAACCGGCCCTTTGAGGGCAACCATAATGTTGATGCAGCCCACGATTAAATTGAGTTCAACACCCCTGCTCTAGAGCCTTGGTTCTCAACTGGTGGGTCGTGACCCAAAAGTGTTCCGTGTTCAGTGGGTCGCCACGTGCCTTCCACTTTTCTATGCGAGAGGCTCCTCAGCCTCCCCCTAGCACAGCACTGTCAGTTCTTGCACCAAACAGCCATTCAAAATATGATGCCCAGTGCCGAGTGTCACCTTGAGGTGGGATGGGCTGGGGCTATGGCCACGAGGGAGCTCCATCCATACATGTATTTGTTACAGCTCCCTTGCATGTCCTGTAGAGGTGCCTGGACTGGAATGAGATCACATTCTGGCTCCCGAAACCTTTACAGGGCATGCAAGCAATGAACATATGGATGGAGCTCTGTCACAAGGTAGGGAGACTGCGTGGATCTTAACAAAAAAGATAAAAAAGATTTGGGAGTGTGTATGTGAAATTGTGTCTCTGGTTATGTATTTCTGTCAGTGATTTTGAGAGTTCGTTCACACTAGTGCAGTGCGTTAATCGAACAGTCCCATGTGATTATCGCACTGTACCACACAATCGCACCTACTACATGTTCTGGTGTGGGAAGTGCATTGCGTTGCCATTTATTTGAATGGGACCCCAAACGCACCTCCTGTCCACAGTTCAATCGCCGACACCGGAATGCGCAGTACCGCATTGCCGTGCGTTCCATTGCAGTGCGACTTGGGTCACAACTTAATGACCAAGGACAAATGTGGGTCCTGAGGTTACATAGGTTGAGAACCACCGCTCTAGAGTGACAGTTCGCCTTTTGGAACCTAGTCCTTCTATCACTCTTTCTTCCTCAGTCATCGTCCTTTTTTAGTCTGATGTATAGACCTCTATAGAATGATCTATTTAATAACCTAAAGTGTTATACTACACCAAACCTTTTATCCAACCTCTTACTGATTGTATTCGTTATTTGGATGAGCCAGTATAAGGGAAAAAAAAACACTTGTAGTATTAACCAATCCTTATGTTTTTGGATTATTTTGTTTTACCCATGTGCACCTTTCTGCTTTTTGCTTGTTTTAAATTGATCTGAGCACAGTTGCCATTGTCACTTGTGTTGGAGACAAATAGGTCACTGTTTTGCTGAATCAGGAAAAAATATGGATCACATGCCTGGCTTTGCAGGTAGGATCGTAGTGTGGTAAATGTGTGTAAGTCACAGGACAAGCTAAACAGAGCTACCAGTCTTTTGGCAGGTAAAATACAGGTACTTATGCACTATAAGTGTATGTAATATACGGTAAGTGATGAAAAGAGGCATGTCAGCCAGCAACCGCTTATCCATGTCTCACACGTTTGCTTTTCTTGTAAATCTTTGACCATAGTGCAAACACTGTGACCAGATAAGAAATGGATGAAGACATCCCCAAAAAAAAATGCCTAGAATGGAGTTCCATGTGACGTGAGGTTTGAAGGAAACAATTGTGACTACAGACATCATCAAATAATATAAGGTGGAGTTCCATAGTCATAAGTAGTCTAACCAGCCTGACTGCACCTCTGATATTTGGCCCATGCCCAGGTGATCTCTCAACACCGTAGAGATATCACATTCTGGCCAAGTGCTTTTATATCTGGACAGACTTTTTATCTTAAGTACTTTTTTCAGCTCGACATCGGCATAAAAATGGTCAAGTAAGCAGTTACTATCTACCTTCCTCATATATCACTGTGACTGTAAGCTAGTCATCCAGATCAATTCTCATGTTAGATATTAGTCATCAGAACTAAATCAGAATTTCCCACCAAGGATTGCATTGTATATTAGATAACAAATGTAGAATCAGCTTTGTGCCCACGCAATCTGGAGTCTGATTTGTATTCTAATCCTTAAGACAGCTAATCGTGAGGTAGGCTTAAGGTGCCCATACACCTTCCGATTATCGGACGATAATCGTATGCGATCGACTTTTCGTCCGATAATCGTATGTGTGCATTGCAGTGTCCGACCGACAATACTGTACAATCGTACGACTTTTGACGGTCAAGCATGTTTGAAAACTTTGCTAGATCGTACGATTGTCGAAAGGTTGCTGGCGTTTCCGTCCGTCAAAAGTCGTACGATGTACACTGCGCTTGCGCTAACGAAAATACGGCAAATCAATTACCGCATTTCGTCCAGGTGCTTTTGGTTAATTACGGCTAAATGATTCTTGCGATGGGGCTGCCGTACGAAAATCGTATGACTATTCGATCGGACGAAAAGTTTCGTCCGATAATCGTAAGGTGTATGGGCACCTTAACAGGAAACAAAAAACCCCCTTCACTAATTCAATGAGAAGTACAGTAGAGCCTTCCTAAAGCTGAAGCTATTTTCATGTCTTACTTCTATCACTAATGAAAAAAAAAGGGGTTTCATTCTGTGGGCAGAGCCGTGTAAATTACTACTTTTTGCCCCGGGCCACCTAATTACCCAAGCACAGATACATCCATATGCTATAAAGCCATTTTTCCTGACTGCATAAAGCTTATTGGGCATCATCAATGCAGTGTATCTATGCAGTAGCCTTACAGTTTAGGCCTCATTCACACACAACGCAAGAGCAAAATTGTATATTGCGTATATGCGCGTATGTATACGTATATACGCGCGTATATGCGTGCACTATATGCAATCCCAGAAAGCATCATTCATAATAGAAATTTTAATGAACTGTACGCGCGTACGTACAATACGCGCGTATATGTGCTGCAGTGTGAATGAGGCCCTACAGTAATCAGTATCCAGTAAAACACATATTACAATATATTATACACTTAAAGTAGAACTAAACACTCCTAACAAAAAGGTTGTTATTGCAGTGAATTCCCCTTATAGTTGCATCACTCAACTCCTTTCTTCAAACTCATTTCCCAAATATGATTTCTGAAGTAATAAAAACTGACCTCATGTGCATGATTCATCCGCTATCTCTTGTTTCGTTCACCAGCATTCATACCACAGGTACATGTTAAGACTGTCACACGTGACATTGCTAATTAGACTACAATTCCCGGTGTACAGTGCACCAAGGTACAAAATGTGAAAGTGACACTTATGATTGACAGACAACCCTCCTCTCACAGTTTACACAGCAAAGGATCACTTAATACTAAATAGGAAGGGGTCGTCAATCATGGGTGGGGTCAACTAAGAAGGATGTTTCACCAAAACATAAATCAATAAAAATCAGTTTGCAAATGCAAGGTCTAAACCCGAGTAACAACCATGCTCCTCTTATTGGGATGGTGTCACCAGGGGAGACGATGGCCATATAATTCATTGGGTATTTTAGCAGACCAGACAACATCAACTTAAGGGAAGCAGAAGCACAATACAGACAGCAAGGTGGTTAATACTTTAGGAGTATACAAATGTAGCCTTTACATACACTAACTTTTTACAGACAGTTGAGTATTTCCGATGGTTAATGGTCTATCGCACTGACCTTCTACATCAAAACTGCTCTTACCTATTGATTTCCCAGGGTAAAGCTTGGCCTGTGGGTAACCTGGGATAGAAGTCTCATCTTGCGCTCGAAGGTTGCTCAGCTCATTTTTAATGATGTACTGACATTCAGCCATTGTTAAAAAATCTTCTCCTTCATCTGTATAAAAATTCACTTTGTGGTTAGAAGTAACTGTGCAATACACATTTTAAATAAAACAAATACTGTAATTTATCCAGCGTTTTTTTTTACTTCAAATGGCATTCAATTAAAATACCCAACACATAGAGGGGAATTTATTAAAACTGGAGCAGCTGTACATGGCAACTGCTCCAGATTCTTCTGCTCCGGTTTTGATAAATTCCCCCAATGTCTTCAAAGTAAAACCTGTACAGAAAGAAGCAAATATAGTACTACTGCAGATCACCTTCAGCATTTGCTAGTTGCCTGACTATGTGTGGTCTCTATAGTGACATATCATGGAAGAAGCATGCAGCTAGTGCAGTCAAAAGAAAAAGAAAGAAAAAAGAAAAATCAGAATTTCATACTTGCTTTGGGTCACTGACTCAAAATATCAACGTAACAGTCAAGAAACGAGCATTTTTAAAAGATGATCGGCAATGGCAGTCTACGTACAGGATTTTCTTAATATATGTTTACCTTAAAGTCAACCTGTGGGTAGGCTATATATATTTAAGTACTTACATATCCTGATCAAGCAGTAGATACAGTTTACAACAAGCCCTCACTGACCTCTGCAGCTGCAGGCACTGTGGAGCAATGTTGGCCTTTATAACCCATGATTAGAAAAGCCCCATTTTGGACCAATTTATAGATCTGTTCAAATAAATGTATCAAACAAAAGTAATGTATATGCTATTCTTAATACCATCTTCCAGACCAACTTGTATGTATATCCCGTTCTCAAACACAAGTATAAAAGAAAAGCTACTATTAACCACTTGCTGACCAGGGGTGTTAAACCCCCTTCCTGGCCAGGCCATTTTTCAGCATTCAGCGCTGCGGTACTTTGACTGACGTTTATTCCGTCATACAACGCTGTACTGAAACAAATTTTATACCATTTTTAGGGGACAGGTAGAGCTTTCTTTTGGTGGTATTTAACCAATTTTATTTTTACTATACAACAAAAAAGTATCGTATTTGCCGGCGTATAGGACAAGTTTTAGACTTAAAAACATCCCCCGAAAATCATGGGTCGTCTTATACGCCGGGTATGGATGTGCGGTAATACTGTATTACGGTAGCTTCGGCTACATACCAGTATAACGCGCTGAGCCAATCACGGCAGGCTTTGTATTAATGAATACAAAGCCTGCATTAATGAATACAAAGCCTGCCGTGATTGGCTCAGCGCGGTATACTATATGTAGTCGAAGCTGCCGTACATACAGTATTACAGCACATCCAGCGGGCTGACATGATGATTTTATTGTTTTGTTCTATTTTTTTTAACTTTGAAAATTGCTGCCGGTTCTGCCCCCCTGCGACGCGGGGTCTCGCAAGGGACGGAAGACGGAGGACACAGCGGGGATCGTGGACAAGGTAAGAGACTGTAATCCCGAGTGTAGCTCGGGGTTACCGCTTATGGTACTGAAAATTAACCCCGAGCCACACTCGGGAATACCGCCTTGGAGGTTAGTGGGTGCATTTAAACATTATTTTGGGCTATACTCGTCTTATACGACGGGTATAGCCCAAAACCTATGCTTTAACAGAAAAAGTCGGGGGGTCGTCTTATACGCCCAGTCGCCTTATACGGCGGCAAATACGGTACAGAAAATTTTGAGGAAAAAACCTGTTTCCCTATGAAATGTTTATTATCACCCAAATTTTTTGGTAAAATATAAAATACGGGGTCATGTCGGGTAAATAGACACCAAACATGTCAAGCCGTAAAATTGCGCGCACCAGCGAAATTGGAGAAAACTACCACACCCAAAATTGGCCATAGGCGACGCTTTAAAACGCTTTTGCCGCTCATCAGTTTAGTGTTATCAGTGATTAATGGCCCTAAAATTATTGCTCGCACTCCAACGTTCGCGGCGATATGTAACATGTGCGGATTAATGGGCGCAATCGCCGTTTTTGCACATAGGTGCACCCGACGCATGTTTGCGTGTGTATGTGGGAAGGGGGCGGGGGACTTTAAAAATGTTTTGTGTTATTTAACCCCTTTGTGACTGACGACGTACAGTGACTTTTGCCGCCGGGACTCTGTTTAAACTTGTAGAGCCGACTGTCGGCTTTACAACAGAAGCGATCCTGGCGACTTACTTGTCGCCAGATCGCTTCTGTGTCCCGAAGAAGGGGCCACATTTTTGTCACCATTTTTTTTTAAACTTTTTTTTTTTTACACTTAACTTTATTGCCATCACATAGAGGCTAAGAAACCCCTAATGTGATAGCCAATTCACATAACAGGTCCTCTTTATGGAGACATCAAGGGTCTCCAAGACCCCTAATCACCTAGGGACCCCCAGAGAAGTTGATGAAGCAGAGATTTAAAGGTTATTGAGGATCTAATTATACAGCTTTAAAGGTCATTGAGGATCTAATTATACATTTTTTTGCTGCTTGTAAAAGTGGACCTTTCATATCAGCCCCCCTGCATACCCAACACAAATGGCTTTGTAAACAAACGGTTTGCCCCCCCAAAAAAATACTTACCTTGGCCCTGGCCTCCAACATCAACCATACCTCCAGACAGAGTGGAGATCTGAAAAACCCCACGAGAATGCACTCTTGCAAGAATGGGCTAGAATTTATTCCTGTGGGATTTTATGCTCCCAGCTCTGCTGCGAGACATGGTGACACCACCTCCGGCTCCCAAAAGTGTCAAAGGCTGGGCCAAGATAAGTATTTTTTCTTGGACCAAAATATCCTGCTTGATTTCTCGGTCGCGGAAAGGCTGTAGTTGGTGGTGGACTAAGTGACAGCACAGTTGATTACACATCCACACCATATTATTGCATTCTGATGGGGGCATCTTCAAAAACCTGTATTATTGGTGATGAAGCAGAATCAAACATTGCCTGTAAAGTTCAACTCTTTGTTGTAATAATAACAGACCACAAACAGGCAATTACAAAACCTTACCATTAAAATTTTTGAATTCTGACCGGTTGGTGTACAAAAAAGGTTTCATAGTGCCATCCAAGCTCTCCTTCACAAAACCCGCCGCCTCTGCTCCAAGGAGAAGCCGCTTTGAAGATGTTCCAACAACATAAATGTACTCCTTCTCCTCTGATATTACCTCTGGTCTTATCAAAAGCTGTGCACCTGAAATAAGCATATAACCATCACTTTCTCTTCTTGCAGGATATCCTTTCACAAGGTGTCCGAGTGATAACACAACTTTTATCAATACAGGTTCTAAATCTAATAATGTTCATACAGTGGGCACAGATTTAATTAACAGAACATGAAAAGTAGTACTTTTTCTGACATCTGTTGACACTCATTTCTTGAGGAAAACGTAATTTGTACCCCTCCTCTTTCCACTGGATTCCCACTCTAGCATAAAAGACCAAACAAGCACAGCCATAGAAAAGGCACAGCTACTTTTAGCCATAAAGAACCCATAACTTTCTAGCCAAAAAGGTTACTATGCCCAAAATGAAGCCTGTATTATCGCCTTGCAAAGAAATATGCGTGTGTTATATTTGTAGTTGGACTACCATCTTCTTGCAGGTCCAAAATACTGGCAAACAGATGACAGAATCAGCAAAGTCCTATAAATAAGAATTGGCTTCTTCCCATTTTTAGGGTAATGTACATGTTGCAGTGACAGCACATTGTGAAAAATGTAGCGTTGCCTTCATTTAGAAGGGAGTGTACCTCCACCACTGTGTGCGTGCGTGCGTGTCCTGGGATTCTACAAATCAAGCTTTAAAAGACGATCTCTAGGAAAAAGTTTTATTAACCCTTGCAGTGGGGCTACCCCCACACTGCAAGGGTTAATTGCTCATTTGTGTCTAGGGACAGAAATTAAGATATACTCATTCGAAGCTTCCAGCCGGCTGTTACAGCGTTCCCTGCAGCCTGTATCCTCTTTCCGCAACACATTGGAATCTTCATCATCCTCACGTCTATACACTATGTATAGACATGATGATTTACGGGACCTTAGACCGCTGCAGAAGAGGTGTAGAGACACAAGAAGGACCTGTCTAAGAAGTAGCCTGCTCGGAACTTCGGGTGAGTAACCTTTTTTTTTTTTAAACCTAGACACAAATGAGCACTTAACCCTTGCAGTGTGTGGGTAGCCGCACTGCAAGGGTTAATAAAAAACGTTAAACCTTTAGTTAGAAACCCTGGCGTAAAAGCTTGGACTGGCACTTTTCTGGTGGCTGAAAAAGGGTAAGTATGAAACATTTAAATGCAATATGTCACATTTACCTGGTTTAAGAGAAAAATCCAGTACATTACGTTTGATCCTGAAGACATAAATAAAGAAACTATATGGAAAACCACCATACACACTCAATAACTTTTAGGTAGTAAAATATTTAAATCTGAACTGCAGTAAAAAAACTAAAAAATAATGTAATCCTTCTATCCCCTCCCCCCCCCACCCAAAAGAAAAACAACAAAGGGTAAATGCTGGTCTAGACTAGGGAATAAGGAATCAGCAGGATTACTTATTTTATTCCTTGCGCCTGCAGCAGCCAGCACTCCCCTCTGCCCTCTATATGTGGGCAGGCCCTCAATGTCTTCACGTAGAATGCAGGACTGCTGAATTGGCCGAACCTTGATCCGTGGGTAGCCCTGCTGTCACCTCCCGGCTTAATAGAAGTCGATTTTTTGATCAACTTTTTATTAAAGAGCCGAGTGGAAAGTTGGAAGCCAATCAGCTGCAGCCACTGTTTAAGTACGCTGACAGCTGCGGGAGGCTGGATGTCAAAATACAAAAGCCACCCATCTATGAAGTTTAGAGTTTTGGATGCGGGAATTAAGTGATTTTCTTTTTTCATCCCAGCTCACACACAGCCCATACTGCTCAAGTGGAAGCGTGGGGTGTTGTACAGCCATTTACACACTGGCCACAATTAGCTTTATTGTGCTTCCAGCATTGGAAAAGATAATCAACACTTATGGCATTAATTACAGTACACGAGAATTCAGCACCATCATCACACTGAGTTTTGTATTGATAACAATGCCTGACCATAGGATTCCAGATAGGTGCATGTACAACCTTTGCATGTACCTCTAACATACAGTTCACTATGATGATCAGCTGCTTGTCTAAACCCAGCTAGAACATGAGTAATGAATAAGACATGAACTCTATAGCAGGGACTGAGGCTGCAATGGAGAGAATTACTTTAGTGGGTTAGATTAATATTCTTTGCGCTTGTACAGAAGCCAAGAAATGTTCCAATATACACTCACCGGCCACTTTATTAGGTACAATTAGGTAAAATTTAAATTGCTTGGTAACACAAATTGCTAATCAGCCAATCACATGGCAGCAACTCAATGCATTTAGGCATCTAGACGTGGTGAAGACGACTTGCTGAAGATAAACTGAGCATCAGAATGGGGAAAGCAGATTTAAGTGACTTCGAACGTGGCATGGTTGTTGGTGCCAGATGGTCTGAGTATTTCAAAAACTGCTGATCTACTGGGATTTTCACACACAACCATCTCTCGGGTTTAGAGAGAATGGTCCGAAAAAGAGAAAATATCCAGTGAGCGGCAGTTGTGTGGACGAAAATGCCTTTTTGATGTCAGAGGAGAATGGGCAGACTGATAGAAAGGCAACAGTAACTCAAATAACCACTCGTTACATCCGAAGTATGCAGAATACCATCTCCGAACGCACAACACGTCAAACCTTGAATCAGATGGGCTACAGCAGCAGAAGACCACACAGGGTACCTCTCCTGTCAGCTAAGAACAGGAAGCGGAGGCTACAATTCACACAGGCTCACCAAAATTGGACAATAGAAGATTGGAAAAACTTTGAGTTTTGATTTCAGCTGCAACATTCCGATGGCAGGGTCAGAATTTGGCGTAAACAACATGAAAGCATGGATCCATCCTGCCTTGTATCAAGGGTTCAGGCTGGTGGTGGTGGTGTAATGGTGTGGGGGATATTTTCTTGGCACACTTTGGGCCTGTGATGCTATCATGTCAATATGGACCAAAATCTCTGAGGAATCTTTTCACCACCTTGTTGAATCTGTGCCCCGAAGAATTAAGGCAGTTCTGAAGGCAAAACGGGGTCAAACCCAGTACTAGCAAGATGTACCTAATAAAGTGGCCGGTGAGTGTATATACCCTACATGTTCTTCCAACAACTAACAGAGAGAACTGAAAAGCGAGAGCAATAGTAGACATTACCAAAGCTAATATACAGATATCATTTGTAGCAGCAGTATGAAAGGCCAGTAAAATCTGTACATTTCCATACTCGGCCAGGACAGAGCCTGTTAAGCAGCCTTAGATTCCTTTTATGCTATATATGCCTTCACCAAAAGGACAACACCCTAGACACAGCCCTTTCTGCTGTACATAATACTTAGAGCATTGCCAAGTCAGATGGTTGCACTTTTTGGCATACACAGCATTACGAATTATACTACATGAAACAAAGTAAGGCTTTATATGCACAAGCACCTAAGGGGATCATTTGGTGTGATTTCCTTAGATACACTCCATGCAGTTTGGAGCAGAAGGTAATGCAGAGCTAAATGGACCAATATAAACTAATACTGCAAAGGCTACAATATTCATTCAATACCATTGACTGGGAAGGAGGGCCTTCTGCAGCGGGGGTAGAAATGAATGCCAGCATGAGTACTGAATGTGCATTGCACAGTCCTAAACTCTCTAATTTTTTGTATTACTTCAGGAGATCTCTAGGGTCAGCCCAGGTCTCCATTTTACTGTGGAAAGCTGCACTTCAACAACGCTGGGCCCATCTCCCAAATGTTCTCCTGCATTGTCAACCTGTCTCTTCATGTCCCACTACAGACTGCAAGTAGCCATGTGGATGCAAACTGTACCAGAAAGTTCCAGTTTTCACCATCAGGAAACCCACCATATGAAAACGCTATGCAGCTACTACAAAAACACATGCAAGAGACAGGAAGTAGCTGCAGAGAGGCAGCAGGAAATCAGCACTGTTGATATGCAATAAAGGATGATAAAGAAATTGAAAACAGTCTACAAATGGCAGTTGTTTTCATATAGAGTACTTTAGCAAACTAAGGGGCCAATAATGCCGAAGGGATATCACTAATCACTCTCAGCTATACTTCACAGCGTTACTTTATACGGCGGCCCATTTATATAATGCAGTTTAGAGTCTGATGTGTATGTGTGTTTGTTTTTTGTAAACAGTGGTATGGCAGTGTTGCTGCTTTATTAATTCCCCAATCTATCGTCATTCAGCTCTGTGGTGTGCATCCGATAGAAATGCAGACCGTGTAGCTCAGGGGTAGCCAAACTCCGGCCCTCCAGCTGTGGTGGAACTACAAATCCCATGAGGCATTGCAAGATTCTCACAGCCACAGACATGATTTCTGGAGAGAGATGCCTCATGGGATTTGTAGTTTCACCACAGCTGGAGGGCCGGAGTTTGCTACCCATGTAGCTGCTCCCGCAAGTCAGGTATGCGGTCTGTGACTGCGTACCTGACTTGTCACCTGGCTGCAGGCCACATAGTACCGGCTCACGGGCTTCAACTGGCCCACGGGCCGGTACTTTGAGACCGTTGCCCTGAAGTGATATTAAAGTAAAAAGTATTTCCAGCTACTTCAAAGGCTGATTCAATCATTTACAATGGATACTGCTCCTTGATGTTGAAATGTTTTAGTTTCCTGTAGAATCAGCTAATTCTCTAGCACTACCCTCATTTAGAGTGGTCCCTTTCCCTTGCAGGGTCCTATGGAGCCACCCTTGTGTGTGCTAGTAAGCTGTATGTGTCTCCACAAACACCCAGGTACAGCGAGGCAAGACACTCTCCTGCTCCAAGCCACTAACTCCTCCATCCTCTAAGCTAGTAGATGAATATGTGCTGGAGACTGCTCTGTCGCTTGTGATCGTGTACTGGACAGGATGTTTAGGAAACCAGAACTGAGAGAGTTGGAGCTGTTCAGAAACATGATGACTAAATGTTTGGACAACAATTTAAAGAAATAATTTGCTGGGCAATGTATATTTGTTTGATCTGGATTCATTAATAAAAAAAGTTTAAGAGTTTAATACTACTTTAAAGATTAACATATCTAGTAGATGTACCTCCCTGTGCACCCGCTAATACATTCCCCCATAATGCTGGGGATAGTAATTGTACATACCCCCATCTCTCTTGTGGGCTGAGATTTTTGATACAAGCCATTCTCTTGCTTCCGGTTTCGAATTCTTCGCAAGCTCTATCACAACTAGTGGTTTGAAGTCAGGCTCCGAATGAAGCACATCTTTGAAAGAGCTTCGTAGCATTTTTCAAAGAGATCTGTGTTTTAAAAAAGAAATACAACTGCTATTAGAGTCAGGTTGAGATTAAATATATTACATCCAAATGGCATAGGCATATTACACGACTGTGTGAAACTGTGTATCCGTATGAACAAACTGCATATCAAAACTTTCATAGGCAAATTAGTCTTAAAGTTTATAGTTTAAAAGGCAACTCTGGGACAACATATGATAAGCCAAAATGCAGAAAAAGTGTATGGCGTTAAAGTAAACCTGTACCTAACCTGCTTACTTTAAATGCAGAATGATGACAAATGCATCACAAGGGGCTACCTTCAGTTCAAACTGTCATTTCCACAGGGCTTTTATGGTGAGCTGCAATTTCTTGGGGCAGAAATCACAGCTGGCTCTGCAGATGATCGCCTGTTACTGCACATGAAGAGATTACCTGAACTTAGAGACTGATTGCCCCTGAACGCAAGCAGCTTGTAGGGTTTTAACTGCGGTCTATATTCCTATTTGGGAGGTTTGTCATACTTCCTGTCCTGTAGCTGTGTGGTTTTCATTGCTGCATGTCACCACTGGAGAGATGTTCCCCTTCTTTCAGGCATGGTGAAACCCTGTATGTTACGGCATACTGAGGGGTCACCAAGACAGGAAGTGAGAGAAAGCCTTCCCAGTTGGAAAAAGTTTGAATCACCATCATTGCAATAAAAATCACAATTTACTTTAGATACACAGGAACATCATATATCAGACAAAACCTTCACAGACATTACCAGTTTGTGTTTAGTCCCTTATTCCAGATGCAAGCCAGCAGGCAAGACTCCATACACACAACCTATTAATATAAAACTGACCAATCAATAGCCTGGAATTAGATTGGTATGCTAGGTGCATGATATGGTATGAGATCACTTCCAGGAAATAATGACACAGGTATATAGAATAATAAATACAATATATATATATGTATATATATACACATTGAGTGGCCAGATTAATATGAGCACCCCATCAGTACTTCGTTGGGCCACGAGATGACTTCGTTGGGCCGCCTCGTGACTGCACGAAAAAATAACATTTACAACCCGGAATGACTTACCTGTTCACTGATGTAGGGTACTTCCTGTAAGTCTAGATGTCTCTTCTTTTAAATATTCAAAGACACGGCAGCCAAGCAGAGCAGAAGAAAGCCCACTGCAGAAGACAGGTAAGTATTTCAAAGTGTTAAATGTTATTTTTATTGGAAACAGGAAGGTAAAGTGACAGAGTATGGAGTAAAGTTTTGACCTAAAGTGAGTCTTTCATGAGAAAAGAATGGGGACTGCAATGGGATGGGAGTTTTTTTTTTATCTTAGAGTTGGGCTTTAAAGTGTTACTAAAGCTTCATCTTTTCTTCTTCTGATACATCCCTCTTTCCCTTTTAATCCTTTGTAAACTAATAATTCTTTGACAGCATGCCAATAAATATGAACATTTACTTTATGTGAATACCGCAGCCTCCAGTGTCCTGTGTAAAGCTTCAACGAACGTCCTGTTGGGTGATATGAACTGGGATTTCCTCATCAGGACTATAGGTTTCACCAATCCTAGCACCTAGCACACGTTCTCATCATTGCTTTTACCCTAGGCTGCCTGTGCATGTCCAGTGCAGGGAGCAGTGGCAGGTGAGCGCGCATGTAAAGGTACCCATACACGATAATCGCGAGTGATCCGGAGATCGTACGATAATCGGCAGGTGTATGGAAGGCGTGCAACCGTTTCTACTGTACGGTCACACGTCTCTTGTCTTCCGAGCACGCGCTCGGAAGACAAATGCCGAATGGGCCGGTGTGAGCAAGCGCACACTGCCCGCTCAGCATTGGAATCATCGCAAGTACGATCTGCCTGTCCAAGATGGGCAGATCGTATGAGATTTTAATTACCTTACAACCATCGCACAACGAAAGTCATGTGATGGTTGTAAGGTGTATGGGCACCTTAAGGGTGGCTTAGGTGAGGCTCCATAGGACCCTGCAAGACAAGGAGCCACGACTTGTGCAGACCGAGTTTGCACCATGCCCCCCTGTAAATCCTTAGTGCCTGCAGGAGTGGGGATTTTGTGAGTAAAGTGCTTTACACAGCTCCCCTAGACCTAAACAAGTGAGGAGCCAGCCCCACTGCAATGGATTTTTTTTTATTCCTGGAGATAGGCTTTAAAATGTATCCATGGTCAAAAACA